CACAATCCCTTCTCCTCCATTCTCCTTTTGGGATTTTGGGCATGCACTCACATGTGCCTGGCCTGAGTTTTAAGCCACTGAGTCTGGGACTCAAGCCACAGTTGACTACGTGGGAGTCCAGTGACAGCCATTATGCCATTTGCTGGCCCCTGTAGGTGCCCTTGTTGGTTCCCATCCCTGTCTGCCCCATCGTCCCCTCTGGAGGTTGAAGCATGTGAAGAGGCTCACTCATGCTGGCCTAGACACTGGGGCATATGGCTGGAATAGGCTGGCCCTTTGAGGCCAGGTCTCAGTTTTGGCATCTAGGCTTGGGCCTAGGGCTGAGCTGGGGATCTGCTCCAAGGCTGCCTTTGGCTGCCGTCCCTATCCAGGCTCCCCACAGAAAGCTCAATGTATGTTTTTTCATGTGTCATCATGGGTTTCAGACCCACATGTCCTGATTCCTCTCACCTGGGTAGAGGACCAAGACTGACCTGGGTGTGTGTGGGGCTATGTGGGGTGCCTAGGAGCCCGAAACAGATGTATCTCTGAGTCGGCATGTGCCCAGGCACCATGCTGACCCATGTAGGTGGCATGTCTACTACCTCTGATGTAGGCAGCCTGTGGTGTGTCCAGCATGTGGGCAGCAAGTGGAGACATCTCTGCACAGCTGCCCCTAGGACCAGGGCTTTCTTCTCAGAGCCAGAATCACCAGGTCCCCAGGAGCAAACAAAAGGCAGGTATCGAGAGTCTGGTGGCTGGACCCCCTTGCTGGCCAGTCAGTGAGCTTGGGAGTAGCTATGGTCAGGGTCCTTGAAGTCAGGGAGTCCTGATGGTGGTGTTTCCAGGGAGCTTGTCATATTGGCAGAGTTGGCTGGTGGGGCCTGGGTTGGGATGTGCTGCTGCCCAGGACACCCTCTGGTCTCACTGTGACAGTCACCCTGGCATTTTGGGGCTCCCTGGCTGGAGATCTTGGTGAGGAAAGCAAGGGAAAGGGGTTCCGCACTCCAACTGGGAGCTCCTGACCGCCCCATCCTGAAGAGAACCTCCTTGGTTGCAGCAGGGAACTTGTGTGTCTCTCTTTGTTGTTGCTGTGGGCATGTGTGCTTGCTGGAAAGAGATAGAGAGAGGGAAAATGAGGAAGCACCCTCCTCCTTCCAGGGGGGAATGGCCATACCACAATCCCTTTTCCTCCATTCTCCTCTTGGGATTTTGGGCACACATGCACATGTACCTTGCATGTTTTAATGTATGTTTTTTCATGTGTCATCATGGGTTTCAGACCCACATGTCCTGATTCCTCTCACCTGGGTAGAGGACCAAGACTGACCTGGGTGTGTGTGGGGCTATGTGGGGTGCCTAGGAGCCCGAAACAGATGTATCTCTGAGTCGGCATGTGCCCAGGCACCATGCTGACCCATGTAGGTGGCATGTCTACTACCTCTGATGTAGGCAGCCTGTGGTGTGTCCAGCATGTGGGCAGCAA